TCACCGCGCCCGGCGCGCAGACTGGCCGTCAAGAGATCAATCTTCTTCTCCAGCTCCGTGACCCTGCTCACCGTCTTCTTCCTCACCTTCCTAGAGCCAGCCGGGGGGACGGTTGTGACGCATACTCTTGTTGCTTTTCGGCATCGGAGGCACGGCCCGTGTGAGTTGTTGCCGATGCAGCGCACCTTCAGCCCACGGCACGAGTCGCAGGCCCTCGCACGCTGAACGGATTGGCCGACCGTCTGACTCTGCGTGGCGACACCATCGCCGTCCGGCGCCACCCCGGGCGAGACCATGTCGCGGGGACTCTGTGTCAAGAAACAAACGGGCGACGGTAACTCTTTTCAGGCGTGCGGGCTCATGGCTTGCTGCGGCATGGAGCGTTAGGGTCTTGGCTGTGAGAGCGATTTGGACAAGACAGAAGATTTCGCCGATTGCCGATCGGGACGGAAGAGACGGATGTGACCCGATGCCGATCGCCACTAGATGCCACCTCTTTTGCGCATACGCGCTGGTTAACTCTCTAGTGTACAATGTTTAGAAGAATGATGAGAACTTACAGTCGACTGCGTTATCGAGGCATGCATTGAGCTAGCGCGGATGTCTTCGTCCATCATTGTCGTCTTTCCGCTTCTGGCTTGGGTGTGTGGCCAGTTGGTGAAGCCCTGTATGATACGCGGACTAGCTCTTCACGCCGACGCCCGTCTGCTCGGCCAGGTTGGGGTAGCACCTAATCAGACTACTTGTTGGATAAATAGTAATGCATTGGCAGCCGCAAGTTAGATGGCAGAGTGTATGCTATCATCTCAAAGGACATTAGGCTACAAGCACCACTTGGACACGAAATATTGAAGGACTCATGACTGACAACTCTCATTGGCAGGGTCCGTCGCATAATGCTGCGGACAAGATGTGATGAGCATGACGCATCTTTTCATAAGCTGACAATGCATTATCCTGATTTCGCTCAATCTTCGTGGTCATAGTAATTGTTTCATTGAGGTCCTACGACTCACTACAACAATGCCACTTGAGATGCAGGTTCGCGTTTACACCCGCTGCCGAGTCTCTGTGAGAGCGCGTGCTGCTGATTGAACATGCAAAAACCCTTTGTAACCCCAATGGGCTGCACTTATGCAGGTAGTAATCAATAAGGGAATGCTGTCGTATATGTCAGGAGCCACGAGTGGGTTCGTGGGACAAGCCCAACCATTAGCAGCATGGATGGATCGGAACACGATCTCAGATGGAACCGGCAGTTCGTGCTTTGATTCAAGTTCAGATGAGGGCCATGGTTCACTGCTGCTACTATGTCTTAAACGACTTGCAGAACAGATCGATGTGTCTTTGGTTCGAGGCCGCATGGGGTCGTCGGCCATGAATTGACGATACACAGGAACAAGACCCAGCTACGTACTTAAAGTATAAAGGGCTGTTGATAACCCCAGCTCGATGTATGAAAACTCCTATCCAACAAGCCATTGATCGGGGTTGACACCTGCACCACAGGCCCGCATCGGACCTCATCGCATCATCCCCTCAACATTGATCTTTTCCTTGCCGAGGGCAGCATCAAGCTGTATCTGAAGAATGGCAATGAAGTCTGGACCAATGTAGATGTCAGCGTCAAATTTGATGGCAGCTTCCAGGGCGACTACAAGATCATTTCCCTCTGAGCATCAAAGAATATACAGTGTACCCTAGTATCTAGGATGAAGTCAAGAAGTCAATTCACAGAGTAGGCAAAAACTATGGTCGCGATGGTTTCGTTCAAGTGGTCCAAATCAACAAGTTGTTTGAAATTTAGGACATCTACGTGGACATGGCTATGCTTAGCAGTACCAACCTACTTCCTCAGATGACCTCTGATTCATCGACTCGAGGTGTAAGATGCGGTTCATTTCGGGAAACTCTGCCGCATCCTGCTTCAAGCGTGAGGAGAAACCATCATCTGCGCGATGAATCAAAGTAGATTCATGCACGATCTGCAAACCATGAACGTTGGAATGATGTTGTAATGACCCCTTGAGTTCATGTCGCAAACCTCTGCTGGCAAGAGACAAATCACCTGGAGCTTGCTGAGTGCTGCGCCAGAAGACAATTGGCCGTTTCTCTGCTGATACTGTGAAGCGTAACAAAATTTCACCAGTATTTTCGCCATCCCACAAAATGAGACTCTTCAGCTTCGGCATGGACTGAAATGCAATGCGGCCTGCCATGACCACAAGATTGACAAACTCAGGTGCGCGGCAATGAAGGTGGCGCTGTAATAGAGCCGACGTCAGAACCAAGTATTCGAGTCGGGGGAAAGTTGGCAAGCCGACTACAAAAGCACTAGCCAAGAATGTTTCGGCTGATATAGAGTGTGTTGCGTAGAATAAGCGAAGTCGGGTGGCAAGATTGATGATCGACGGGCCCATTTCTACACCTGTGCTCAGATGTCCTGAAAAATGCCGATGCCTCTGAGGCCTTGGCGAAGTCGAAAAGTTGATAGTATCGTCCAAGTGAGCGCTGGACTCGTATATAATATTGCATTCATCCATTGTGGCTGGCAAGGCCTCCAGCACTGCGCGATACTATCGGGAAAAGCACGCCGATTCAGCATGATCCAGCTTAGTCCACATCTCATGACGCAAGCTCCGCAAACTCGGCAAAGCTTGACGAATGAGACACACGAGCATTTGAGGGGATATTTGGCGATAGTAATGACGCCTGAGGACTAAGGTGTTGATGATGGGGGCGGAGGCGATATTTCTCAGTCTTAGTTGCCCGTTTTGCGTCTCCATGTATTTTTTGACGAAATGTTGAGACTGAAGACCGCCTAGCACAGACATAATTCGTTTCTTGGCGCCCAAGAGAGGTAAAGGATGCTTTCTGAAGCAGTTTCGATCCCATCCAGGACATGAATTCTTCCCGTTGTCAAGCTCATGCGCCCTGCGCAAAACAGTCGCATGAATTTCGTAGCCGTTCCCTGAGACTCCGTGACGGTATTTGCAGGAGAACCCAGAATTGCGGAAGCCGTGTTGTCCATCACTGGGTGAATAGGCACCAAGATCTAACACGATGCCGGTTTCATTCTGGCGTCGTGGCCAGGTCGATAGGATGGCCATGAATTGCTGTAAGGTGCTCATAAGAATTTTGGTCATTATTGCGAGCAGTGTTTTCTTCCTCTTCCTCGTCGCAGCTCAGACAACCGTATTCGGGAAGTTTGACTCGCAGGACAATGCACTCCACGTATCCACGTCGAGTTTCATTATCACTGACAAGTCTGTCGAAGTCATGGATTCGGTCTTGATCCAGCACCAAGAGGCGGAAGCTATCGTATGTAAACCAGCTATGCCATTCGCGACATACTAGTGAAGGCCTCTGATAATGAGGACGAGCGTTGGGAGACTGCTGGTTGAAATCGCGGATACGATCGCGTATCATCCACCGGATCTCCAGCGGAAGACTGTTCCAGTAGCTGGGCATGGTATCGAAGGTTATGATTAGCTCGAAGGGGTTGAGTAAAGAGTTTTCGAAGTAGGAAGTAGGGACGACGCACATAAGTCGCAAGTAGAAAGTTTTTTTATATGGGGAGGAGTGCAGGCGATAGTTTTTAGCACCCAAGAAAACTATGATTACCCTGCTAGGTAGAGAGTAAAACCTTAATACTATGAAGAATCTTACTACTTCAGTATAGTCAAACAAGACAGAGTGCTGGATTAATATCGGGATTGTCTGTTGTGCTGTTCACGGGCGGCGGCTTCACCCCTCGGTGATCGGTGGGCCTTGTTACGGGTTAGATCCGTGGACGTTGTTTAGGCCTGGGGGCCTATACCTCTATAAATGCAGTTCAATTTGAATCAACGACGTTGATTCAACACGTATCCCTTCACCTCAGTTGGATAGCTACCGTGAGACACTTACGAACGTGTGAGTGCTGCCACCAAGGGACTTGCTATCTCCAAAATTAGGTAGAAGGTACGTTGCGGGCCCAACCTCCGTTCTCACATGTTTATGAATTGTGGCTTGTAATCTTGTTTCGATTGCCTTGGAAGCATCCTTCCACCACATATCCCATGGATATTTTATTCATAACAAAGCGAGTTACATCACACAGGATTAAGACCCAGGTGACCATAACCCCTCCGCCTCGACTTCGACCATCCTGCTGCGGTAACAATCTCCCAAACCAACGTCCCTTGATGGTGGTGTCAACCTGGTCACTGGACAGGCAGGTCATGCATCCCTACGTATCTCTACGCTTGCTGTCGCATCTGGTCCTGCATCGAATAGAGCTGGGACACTGCATCCCTAACGCTTGGACATCTTCGTTCACTGCAGCTCCGACTTACAATGCCTGCCAGACAATCCACTCAATCTCCAGCCTCTCATGAGTCCACTCTAGGCGTCTGGGGTTGGTGCTAGCTTTCTTTGGGCGATCTTAAGCGCCTCTGACGAGCCAAGTTGTCTTAGACCACGAGGCCTCCACACCCCAGACGCCCATACCCCAGACGCGGGGAAAGTGGTCAGCGGTTCGCGATTCCTTTTCTGGACAGTCGAACCGCCCACCACCCTGGAGCGAGTAGATCGCGGGCCTGCCATTTATCAGTTCATCGGCAACTGCATTTCACGTGGTAATAGATCTTGGACTTCATAAAGCCATCGATCGGCAACTAGGTATCGCAATTTGAACTTGAATTTCGCCCCCAACTCTGCGGCCACGCAACAGAATTTCTACTTTCGTTTACCATGGATCAAACTACTAGGACAATCGCCGACGAGAAGGCTGAGTCCTACCAGCATGAATATACTCAGGATGCACAGCTAGCCCATCTCTCTGGCCAGGAAGAGCACGACGAAGGCATATGGAAATCCTTCGTCAACAACCCCTGGGCCTGCACCTGGTGTACCTATGCAATTTGGTGCATTATTCTCATCAGTTTTGATTTGCAGGCCGCTGGCGCAGTTGTCGGAATTCCGCAGTTCCGCAAAGATTTCGGCTTCGAGTACAACGGCGATTTCGTGATCCCCGCTGGATGGCAGTCAGCCTTTAGTGGCGCCCCAGTAGCTTCGTCAGTCGAATTGTCAACTGTGTGCTTGATGATTGATGCTAATGAAATGCTAGAGCTGTGATCTCATCACTCATTTCAGCTGAGATCGCCGATTGGATTGGACGCAAGAAGGTCCTCACCGGTGCCTTGCTCATTTCCTTTGCTGCCGTTGCCATTGAGTTCGTTGCAACTACAAATGCCGTCTTCTTCGCCGGAAAGCTGCTGAATGGCTTGATGGTCGGCGCTGTGGCTACCGTCATGGTCAGCTACATCGGAGAGGTATGTCTAAAATATCACTGACAGAGTTCGAAGTGATGGGTCTGACCTTATGCAGATTGCACCTTTGGCCCTACGCGGTGTTTTCACTTGTGGCGTCGGAGTAGCCTACGGGATAGGGCCTCTTGTTGCTTTCATCGTTATCAACTATACGGGCAACGTCGAGACACGTTGGGCCTACCGAGCCGTCTTCTGTGCCCAGTGGGGCTTTGCCGGAGTCGCATTTGCCTTGGTTCCCTTCATGCCCGAGTAAGCTACCACGTTCTAGGCACTGAATCCCCAGCTAATCGCCGATAGATCACCTTGGTGGCTTGTGTCTAAAGGTCGCACCGAAAAAGCCCTCAAGAGCATGCGCCAGCTTGGATATCCAGGAGAAGAAGGCCAGAAGAGGCTTGCGCTCATCGACCAGACGCTCGAACACGTCCGCGCCGAAACCCATGGCGTGACCTACATGGAATGCCTTCGCAAGTCGAATCTTCGCCGCACCATGATTAGCATTATGCCCCTCTGTATCCAGGCATTTTCAGGCATCGCCTTCGTGGCTGGCTACTTCACCTACTACCTGCAGCTTGCCGGTTACTCGACGGAGATGAGCTACCGTATCCAGATCGCACAGCCGGTTCTCTCCATAGTCGGCAACCTGATGGCCGCCGCCATGGTAGACAGAATCGGCCGACGTGACCTCACTTTCTGGGGCCTCGTTGTGCTGACTATTTTCCTGCTCATCACGGGTGGTCTGGGTCTAGGATCCTCGCAAGCAACGGTGACAGGCACCGTCGCCTTCATCCTCATCTACAGCTGGTGGTACAATGTGTCGATCGGTTCGACGGCCTTCTCGTTGCTGTGCGAGGTGTCGACGTCCAGGCTCCGCGTCAAGACTATCGCCATAGGATACGCCGTGCAGAACTCCATCACTGTGGCCTGGCAGTTTTTGATCCCCTTCATGTTCAACCCCGACCAAGGAAACTTGGGTGCCAGGATTGCATTCATCTTCGGTGGCTTGACTCTCTTCTCGCTAGCCTACCTGTGGTGGTGCCAGCCGGAGACAGCAGGGCGGTCGTACCAGGAACTTGACGAAATGTTTGCGGCGGGTGTGCCTGCGCGGAAGTTCAAGTCATACAAGACGAACGTACAAATCCAAAACGAGGCTGCAGCTCAAGGGATGGCAAAGGAGGGACTCTAGGCGCAGCTGGGTGCTGAAAGCTTTGATTATGGGACTGAATGATGCTGAAACTGGGCTGGGCAGAGAGGTGAGGCTTAGCAATAAGGGGATTAGGAGTGGCTGATCAGGGAAACGGACATTAGCTAGACTCGTTGTGTGGACCTCGAAGGTCCTCACATCATCAATCCTACATCACATGTTCAGGGACCTGTCTTTTCTCGAATGACTGCTTCGTTGCCCTGATCAGGCGAGGTCTTCACTGGCCCTACCTCAATGCATGAATACTTAGATCCTTCCTGAATTTATTGCATGTATTTGATGTCATGATCATGTATAGTCTTAGAATAGACGATCATACCTCCACAGTGAGACCCGACACTTTCAGGCATAAGGTGCATTGGCGGGCGCAACGATCATCCAAGGAGCCACTGATCAATGACGAAGTTGAAGTTTTGGTCAATTTAGGCTCCAATACTAGATGCTCTTCCAATCCTTATCAAATGGCTGTAGCAGCACCCTGCGATAGCTCGTTAATGCCGGTGTTCCACTGTCTGTCACCTCGAGAATCAGATGCAGCAGCAGCCCTCTCTCAATCTGTTTCTTCTCTCTGAAAAGCACGCACGACTTCTCCCTCGGCGCTATCGTCACCTCGACCTTGCTGCGCTGCTCGTTCACCGGCTTAATTTCAAGCTCAGACACCTCGACTGTGTGGTACGTCTGCGTGGCACTTGGCTCGCGGTACTGAAACCACTTAAACGTGAGTGTGTCGCCGTCAGGATCATACGTCGATGACGCATCGAGTGTAATGGTGCTCCCGGCCGCGACGTCTAGACGGAGTGGCTCTAGACCGATATCGCCGTCGATGGAGATGATAGGATGATGATTCGCCTTTGTGAAATCGGGCGACAATGACCATTGCATACGCGCCGCAAAGTCGTCCTGAAAAGCGGCTCGCCAGCGCCAAATGGTAGCCTTGTTGCTGACGTATACATTGCCGTCCTGACCGATGACCTTGTCGGAGACGTCCGCGTAGTGGCCCTTCGCAATGCCGTGCTCGGAAACATTAGTGGGTAGGTATCGACCGCCCCAAGAACCGAAGTAGGGTTCCTCTGGGACTCCGAGGCCATTTTGGATGAGATAGAGGAAGGTTGGGGTATCGCCCTCAATGATGTATTCAAAGTCGGGGTAGCATGCGCCCAAGGGTCCGATCTGAATGTTCTTCTTCAGCCACTCAGCAGTGATGCGCGATGTGTCGGGGCCAGTCTGGTCGCAAAGGGCAGATATGCCGGTCCATGTGGCATTGACATACTGGTTCCAGCCGTGGACGGAGCAAATGTATAGGATCTCGGGCCACTGCTGGCGAATCCACGCGCCCGAGTCGTCCTGGTCGGAAATGCTGTAGACGCGAAGTTTTGAGCGGAGGGAAGCGGCATCCGGGCGGTCGCGGATGTGATGAAGGACTTGGGCGAGCACATTTGTGCCGCCCCAGACGAGGATCCAGAGGGGGGCTTCTGATGGCGAGGCAATGCTCTCGAGAAGCAGCTTTCCACCTTCGCTAAGGGGAACATCGTCACCTACAGCAGCCATGCCGTAGACTGGAGGGCCAGATTTGACTATGCCGCGGAAGTAGTCGGCTGAGGGATAAGGATGGCTCGGGTGAACGTGAGCGTTCAGGTTGTCAACTACCTGGGCATACCCGTCGATGATTTGATAGAGGTTTTCCGGAGCCACCCTGTCACGGAGCCATGTTGATGTACAGGCAACAACACCTTCTGTTCGGAACTGGTTGGCGTAGGTCAGGTATCTACAGAACGACTCTGCATCATCTGGTTCGTTGGTGATGTCGGTCAAGATGAAGACGCGAGGCTTGGTAGTGAAAGGGATTGTGCGGTCAAGTGCAGCCATGGTGATGGTCGGTGCTTTGTGGTTCGTTTGATTTGTTTAAACTTCGTGTTTGATAAGAGTACTTTGCTGCGATGCGAACAGCTTTCTAAACCTAAGGGAAGCAACAAAATGTTCGGATATGAGTCTCCATAGTCGATCATTTGAATAGTTGGACAGATGGCTGGGTTAGGGGTTGATTTTATCCGGGCCATCGTAGGCTCGCGGGGGGTTGACCCAACCCCTCAATCTGGAGTCGGGAATGGCCCAAAGCGGAAATTTTAAGCACCAATATTCGGACCATCGGATCCTGTCTCGGGTTCGGCTAGAAGTACCATGTCGGAACCGCGCTGCTCTTCGCACAGACCGAGCCGGTTGACCACAGCCCACACGCGTCAAGAATGATGCAAAGAAAGCAGCAGACGCGTCATTTTGCTGAATTGAATGGTCATGAATTATCAATCATCATTTGCCTCGATACAAGCTGGAGGTAAAGACAGCGGCTGGAGAACACTGAACAAAGAACGGATCCTATGAGAATTTACAGGCGGGAATTGAGCGTAAACTCTCCCGGAGCGTGGTAGTTCGGGACCTTCATGTTGAGAGCGTCGCCTGAGTAGCCCAAGTCTTCCGCAACGAGCATGGCTGCCTTCTCGCCGATCAAAAGGGCAGTCGAGTATCTTCTCATGTTAGCTATTTTTCTCACTTCAGACATCTATAGATGACAGCTTACGTGTTGCAACCCACGTTGTCGGGGCAGATACTGAGGTCAGCAACCTTGAGGCCCTTGACGCCATGTACGTTGAGGCGTTCGTCGAGGACGCCGTGCTTGACGATGCTGTTGCCCTCGCGAGGCGCCATCGAGCAGGTCTAGAGATTGGTCAGCTGACATGACAGCCCGTAGAATCTTTCAGTACTTACCCCAAGACTGTGCCAAGTCGTTTCGACGTGCCTCTTCACCCACTCCTCAACAGCCTTGATGTCGTCGTTGCTGTACTCAAGTGGCTTCCTCACGTCCTTGCAGCTGCTCGAGACGGTGAACTTCTTGTCTGCCCTGGACTCGGCTTCGCAGAGGGGCTGCGTCCAACTGCCATGCTGGATGCCTGCAGTCAGGTTGCCAGGCAGAGCATACTGGTTCGTGGAGGCTAGATCAAGATCAAGTGCCTTGGCAGGCGATGAGTAGTTGAAGGTAGGGTGCATGTTCGCAACCTCGCCAGCATAGGCATCCATGCGACGCGCTGTCTCGCGCGATTTGATGTAGCCCCATACCATCGGCACCATGTCGCGCTCATCGTTCATGAAACCGGCATCGAAGTCTGGGTTAGCATAAGGGTCGGCCGAGGTGATGTGAGTGCTTCCACGCGAGAAAGGGTACTCGAGGAAGTGGAACATGGTGAAGAAGTTTCCGGGGGGCCTGTTTGGAGAGGATTAGTGCCCAAGCTGTCGTAGAAGTCCGAGCGATACGTACATGAGCATATGGTCTCCGAACCACCCGGCAATGACGGAGTAGTGCATCACCGGCTTGTCAGGCTTGTCTTCAAAGTACGACTTCCAGCCGTCCTTGAAGTGTGGAGTAGGCCACCTTTCAAACTCTTTGAGTTCTTCCTTTGTGGGACGGATCTTGACTCCAGCATCGATGCCGTTCGTGGCTAGAGGGCCAGTGCCCTTGATGTTCCACTCATCGAAGACACCTAGGGAATGTCAACGAGGCCCGGAAACGAAGGGCTCATGAACTTACGTTTCTGAGTCTCAGGGTCACCTCTGACGAAGTTATCAAAGCTCTCCGTTCCAGGCTTTGCTCGGAAGACCGAGAAGGTCAAATAATGATCCTGGAAGTTCAGACCAACGCCAGGCAAGTCGACAATGGGCTTGACGCCAGCGGCCCTGAGCTTTTCAGGGTGGCCTGCGAGGGGTCAGAACCAAGCTGACTTCACAATCTCAAAAAGGATTCAGAATCCTTACCAATACCAGATCGCTGAAGGACAAGAGGAGACGATAGCGTTCCGCAGGAAACCACAATCTGCTTGCGAGCTCGGAAAATCCGAGGCTTGATCTGTGCGCGCTCGAGTGGCTTCATTGGTCTTGACACGAGTTAATTGATGCCCAAGCTGGATTGAAGGTTGTTCTTACACAGTCTGCACTGCTACAGCGCGGCCGTTCTCGATAATGACCTTGTCGATCTTGGTGTTGCAAGCTAGATACAGGTTCGAGTGCACAGCCCGCGTGGAATGAATGTAGGCGTGAGCACTATCACTGCGGCGGCCAGTCTGTATGGTTTCGTCAACTCCTATGATCTGAAAAATGGGCGGATTTACTCACGTCACGGTTGATCCACTTGAGCCAATGCTCAGCACCATGACCGATGGACAAGTCCTGAAGATCATCGACCACAGGAATGTCTTGAGACTCGGCAGCTCTGAGGAAGTCTTCCTTGATAGGATAGGTGCTGGTTGATATTGTGAGTACAAACCTTCGTCAATAATCCAGTAAGTTATGCTTACTAGTTGCCAAAGGACACCTTGATCGGGCCTTCGAAGCCGTGCGTGTCCCTGGGAGTGGGTCAGCATGTACGTTTTACATACAAAACGACCGTATATACCGGTTATGAGAAGCACGCTGATATGTTTCGTGCTTCTTCATCAGAGGGATCAACTCCTTCGTGGACCAGCCCTTGGCTTGGAAGTCGTCGTAGTCCGAGGCTGAGGCACGAGTGTACATCTAGCCCTCGTTAGAAGCTGGAATCTCTAACACCATCGCTCGAATCTTCTTACCATGAAGTTGATTGAAGAACCTCCACCAAGGATGTTCGCGCAAGGCACAATAGCCTTGCGGCCCGCCAGATGCTCCGACGGCCTGGACTCATAGAACGTGGCCGTCTTCGAGTCCAGCTTCATGTTGCGTGGGTAAATACCAGGCCGGAAGACCCATGGATTGTTGAGATTGTTCTCTCCGCCCTCAATGAGGAGGACGGAGAGGTTGTGGTCCAAATTGGCAAGGCTACAGACAGGCATCAGTGACGTGACTTGGAAGCGCATTGAATAAGGGGACTGACCGCCCAGCAACGACACACCCTGTGCTGCCACCTCCGCAAACAATGATATCGAACTCGTCGGGAATTGCACCGCTCATGATTTCGTTTCTGCCCCTGAATGTTGGATATTGGTTTACTTGGGATCAAATTCAGAGTTTGGAGCTGGAGGATGAGGGCTGCTTCGAGACGAAAGTTTGCTGATCGAGAACTGGGAGACGAGTTTATGTAGAAAATTAGAGACCCCCAGTAGGCACAAGGCCGATGAACCCCAACCGATCATTCCATCCAGTGCAGAAGCCAGAGGCTGCCGCATGATCGACCCCTCACGATTGCCTCGATGATCCAGACAGCTCCATGCAGGCTTGATGCCTGGAGCTCCTCGCCAACATCGCCATCCAGCCTGCATTGTTGGCCAATTGATTCATTGGCAGACTGGTGGTAGTCTTGTTTTGACACGCGCGTCCTAGCATCTGGAGAGTCTTCTTGTTCCCCCTCCTTCTCCTCAGCATAACCCTATTCGCCCGAGAGGAGGCACATCAAACTTGGCGACGTATGCACCTTCTGGTCCCAGAAGAATCGAACAACCATGACCAGTCATATTTTTCCGAGTGTGGAGGGTTATGACCAGTCAAGTTGATACATACGAAGAGGGGTAGAAGATGACCGGACAGGTCATGGCACTCGGTCCGGACAGGTCAGCGGCCCAGATGGAAGCTTCGACGGTTGCAGCGGAGACAGCCCTGTACGGACATTTCCCGGTGACCGTGAAGATCGTCTTGGAATTCACCAGCATCTCTGGAACTTCAGGTAGCGCTCGAGGACTTGACAGTGTAGCGTCTGCAGACATTGATAACGTGAGGACGTTTTGCAGCATCGTTTTCCAGCGAGCTCCGCGTATGTCCAAGATGCAGTAGACTGAAAGTGGACAGATATCGAACGAACAAACCACCAAAAGCTTCCACATCCAACAGAGAAATCCCCTTGATCTAGATCCCCGGAGCTTCCGTTCGGTGATAGCTCGGAATGCATGGACAGAAACAGCTTCCCCAGAATCTGCACCCCGCAACCTTGGCATCGGTGAGGAGGATGAAAATGCCACACTGATCGGATAGAGGTCTCTTCCATGAAGGGAGAAGGGACCATCGTTTGCTTGGCGATGATACGACTTCGACGTCAGAAAACATGGTGCTGCGCCCGTCCCATGACACGGCGGTGCTGGTGTGGTCGAAGCTGAGCCTCGATTCGCCAGTGGCCGGCGTCGCGAACATGGGCACGGGAGTGGTCGAAGCTGAGCCTCGATTCGCCAGTAGCCGGCGTCGCGAACATGGGCACGGGATTGGACGAAGCTTTCCTGCAGCTACGCGGCTGTGCGCGAGCTTCCTCCCCTCCCTGGGCTCTGGCTGGAAGCTGGGGAAAGGAGGGGAAGGTCTTGGCAAGTGCCTTATACATGTCCGTGTAGCCGTGTGTCATGTTGGTGACGAGTTGGTCCTCTGTCGCTTTCCCCCCGCACGTTGACGTTGCATGTAAGTTGGGGAAGGTCGGCAGTTAAATTTGGTTCAGTATGCTCAGTTTCCCCGGATGAATAGAATGATCATCTGAGTAAGACATTAGTCTTGCAGCTGCTTCCCCAGTTTTACCCGCCAGCGGCGGAGGTGATGTTCGTGGATCGCTCGGGTCTGGCCATTCGGGGCAGTCCAAGTGTTGCTGCATCCATCGGGCTTCTGTCTCGTCGACAGTCAACGAGGTGGGGAACTCCTCCTGCTGTGCTACCTTGCGTGCCTCGTGTGAAAGAGTTGTTAAGCGTGGCAACCCCTTCACGCTGACCATATTCTGATCCATTTTGATAAATTCTTGGAGGCGTGCTTGTTGGCTACCAGAGTGGTCAACTTGGAAAGTGATGCCTTTGCAGCATGGTGGCTGAGCTAGGCCGAGCCGCATTATACGTCAGGGAGGTCACAGGAAGAGCCCCGAAGCGCCAATGTGAGCGGCTACGGGGAAGATGAGACGCTGATCTCCGACAGCTCAGGGGGGCCTGGTTGGTGCTACAGCACGCGCCGAGATACCATGGGGGATGGATACTGGCAAACTGGTAAGGCCATGGCGCCTCAAGTCTCGATTTCGGTCTGCCCTTGTCAGTTGGGTTGTTCGCCACGAGGAGGCCCGTGTTCCATTCCCATACATTCAAGTCTGCCGCTGTTGTGTTCCGCACCGCGACCTACTGAGTCTCGGCGAACAACCGTCCCAGGCTATCTGTAAGCTCGACCACCCCCCTTTCCGTCCTCCCGTCTCCCTTGTAGTCGCCTGCCATAACACCCCCCGCCAATGTAGCCGTAATCATGTTCACATAGGTCTGCACCTGCGACGTAGGCATGTGCTTCGCGAAATGCTCAGCCAGCTTCTCCGGCTCGACCGGCACGATCGAAATGCTCTTCCCCGACGCCTTCTCAAGTGCCTGCCGAACATCAAGCGTCGAGTAGTGCCTCGGGCCGAACAGTTCAAAGACATAGGGGCACGAATGCAGCGTCTGGCCGGTTTCCAGCAGTTTCTGGGCACACGCGCGACCAACGTCGACAATGCTCACCTGCGCATCGTTAACCACCACGTTTCGTGACACAAAGAATTTTCGTTGACCGACCATTGGGATCTCGTAGTCTGCCGGTGTAAAGACAGACTCAAAGTAAGCGGGCTCCTGCTTCACTGTTGCGAAGGCTTCGGCCCAGTTCTCGTGAAACCAGCCCGGCTTGATGACCACTACCTCAGGGGCGCTCGCAGCGAGAATTTTATCGGTGATATGATTGATCTTCAGAACACCCTAACAAGTGTTAGTGGCCCTGGAAACAAACGAAGACCAATGTCGTGGCGTGTTGCCTACAATAGCATCGGGATCGTATTGAGAACCCATCGCCGAGAAGATAAGAACCCGCTTGACGGACGCGCGCTCAAGGCCGGCCTTGACATGATGGGCGGCATTGGTGGCGAACTCGGCAACATCGACGTCCTCGAATGTAGGCGGCGGGATGTACAAGACAGCATCGGAGCCGGAGAAGTCGGGCGAGGCCTTGGAGACATCGCCTTGAACAGGCTCAAAATTGACATTGTCCGTGAACTCGGCGGGCGCCTTAGCTATATCGCGGTAGACTCCGCGGACTCGGGGCTGGCTGGCGTGGCGGAGCAGGTTGCGGATCGTCTCTTTGCCGCCTTGTGAGGAGGCGGGGACGACGGTGATGTGGAGCGACATCTTGAATCTGCTAGGTCCACGAAGCTTTTGCAATCAGAGTCGTGCTGTCCACTTGTAAGCTGGGTGGCTTTCTTCTAGGCGCTGCATGCATTTAAGTCATTCTCACTGCCTCGATCGCCCCCGATCATGTTTGGTCATGGTGCTGCTCCTGGACCAGAGCACAATGACGCTGCTTATGGAATACTCGGATGACCGAGCAAGAATCGAGGCGAAAGCTGACCAGTCAGTTGGCGACAACAGCCATCAGTCGTCTCGCTTCATCCTCCGCCAAGGGGGATGGATCGGCCTGACAAATGCGACACGGGGCCAATCTGTAATGAGCTAACTACCCTGGAGGCCGTGGGCTGCCTAGCCGCTGCGGCACAGTGCTCGGCGACGGCCCCTGCGGTTTCCGGCCGGAGTATCATGCAGCGTTTCCGCGGGCCCAGTCCACTGCGCCTGGAAACCGCCCCAGCTGAATATGAAGGTAGCGTGGCGTAGAGCATTCGATTCGATAGCTTCGGGAATGTTATTCGAGAACCCGGTAGCTTGAGGGTCTGAGGTTATTCTGTTTCGATTGAGCATGTTGTGGGAATCCAGTGCATGGGCTATCCAGCGTAGTGGGTTGCAATCACAGGTCATTGTCAGGAGTTCAAACAGCTTCGTAGGGGGTTAGCGCCGTGATTGCCCATAGATGTAAAACCGAAGATCAAAATAGTGAAATAATTATGGAAGTCATCTCATCGATTGCGTGGTTGTCTGTGAGGAGAGGATACGTTGGCCAGATGCTCTGGCGTATCCTGGGCCTTCCGTAGCTTGACTTTGCTCCCTCAATGACTAAGAGCACGCCGTATAGGGGGAAAGAGAAAACGAGCCCTGCTGTCACAAGGACAACATTCGCTTGGAAACTCTCATAGGGCTGAAGCGAGACTCCAGCCCGCGGCTTTCACGTTAATGAGCACCCTGCCTAGTGCCGTTGCGCGCTGGAACAGGCGCGGCCGAAGACCGCGCGGACTTCGGCCTTCAGCTGGCACGGGTGCGGCGTTCCAACGGCTGTGCCGCGCTTTACACTCCATCGCACACCTCAGTCAAGGTCCCGGCAGCGGGCCAAACAACGGCCAAATTGACAATATCGGCACAACTGAAACGCGTGAGAGGCGATATCGCTCAACGGGAATGGGAATTGCGGCCACCGCTAGAATGAACTATTTTCTAATCTCTAATCCTGCTGCTTGGATATAAACAGTTTGTTCGTCACTTGGTAGTTCATCAAATGCATCAACTCTTCTACGACAACTAAATCGACCCTAACACGTGACAAAGCTGAGAAATATTCCAAGCAAGACTACGGCAACTATAAATTCGCGAAGAAAAGCTGCTGGTACTAGGCCAGATCAAGAGCCTTCAGTATGGCAATTCGAGAGTCATCATCTTCCCAGTCAACGTGGATCAATCTCGATACCATGAATCCTCAACATCCCACAGAAGAAGATAAATTTAACACGACAGATAGTGGTCCGGATGATGCTGAAATCAGCAATCAAGTAGACACCTTGGCCAGACAAATATCCAGAGCCTCCAATACAATCATCCAACAAATGCACGAATTGACCCCTGGTTCCGGGTCTCGTCTCGACCCTGCATCGGCATCTTTTGACGGCAGGGCCTGGGTCAAGGCTTTTCTTCAACTCGCAAAGTCAGACTCCCGGACTGCACCGATGCGAGTCCTCGGTGTTGCTTTCAAGTCCCTAAATGTCTTTGGCTGGAGCACCGGCACCGAAAGTCAGATGACGGTCACCACCCGCATCACCAGCCTGTTTCAGTCAATTGCTCAGCTGGCCACAGGAAACAAGCAAAAGCGCCGAATGGATATTCTCCGCGATTTCGAAGGCATTGTGGCGGAAGGGGAGCTTCTACTTGTTCTGGGACCTCCAGGTTCAGGCTGTTCGACTCTCCTGAAAACGCTGGCCGGCGAGACCTCTGGGCTACAGGTCGCCCCTGGATCGTATATCAACTTCCGCGGCATTCCCTCCCGACAAATTCGATCGTCACTTCGAGGCGACGTGCTCTACAACGCCGAGGTCGACACCCACCTCGCACACCTGACAGTCGGCGAGACTCTCTCCTTCGCTGCCCGCGCACGATCTGTGCGCAATGTTCCAAGCGGCCTTTCAAGAACGCAAGCTGATGGCATGATTCGTGACGTTATCATGGCCGTCTTTGGTATTGCCCATACCATCAACACCCGCGTAGGCAACGACTTTGTACGCGGCGTCAGCGGAGGCGAGCGCAAGAGGGTCAGCATCGCTGAGGCGGCGCTCACCGGGGCCAAGTTCCAGTGCTGGGATAACTCCACGCGAGGATTGGATAGTGCGAATGCTGTAACGTTCTGCCGCAACTTGAGGGTGCAGTCTGATCTTTTGGGTGTTGCGGCTGCTGTGGCCATCTATCAGGCCCCGCAGTCGGCCTACGATGTGAGTCCATGATGCCCATGATGAAGGATACTGTCATATACTGATGTGTGTTTAGCTGTTCCACCGCGTCACTGTATTGTACGAAGGGAGACAGATTTTCTTCGGAAAGATCGAAGAGGCGAAATCTTACTTGAAGATTCGGATCGAGCTACGATTC